TTTAAGTGAAATAAATCAGATACACAAGGTTCAATATTATATACATTTTTAACATGAGAAGCCCAAAATATAAATACATAAATACAAAATGAAATAAAAGATAGATAATAGGGAGTAGAAAGATAGAGCTTTCTCAGATGGGAAGGGGGTCAAGATGTGGAGGATGAAGAAAGAATTAAAATGTATTACATAAATGTAGCAACTTCCCACAAGGAATGTAATAATTATGTCCTGCAAATATGTACATGGATATCTTAAGTGTCTGAGTATATCACTGATCCAAAACATGGACTCATGTTAAGTATCAAGAAATAAAAGTGGAAAAATAATAGCCATACCAAAGCACAACATAAACACACACAGCCAAAGTAAATTGCAGTGCGAAATGCAAAACTCAAGTTTCACTGGGTACCATTTGAAAGATTTGCGCTGTTGCTTGAAGGTTGTTGGTGAGGAGTTTTGGACAACAGCACTAATGGCATTTCAGGCCGTCTACTTTGTTGTCATAAGAGGCTGTTGTGTGCATTTATGGATATTTAGCAGTATTCCTGACCTCTGTATACTAGGTATCAGTCACACTTCCTTCTGCCAGTAACGACATCAAAGTTATCTCCAGATATGGCCAAATCTACCAGTCTTCCTATGATTTTTTTTAGGATCATTGCTTTATCTGATCTGAACAGGAAGTAGATTTAGTCTCTCTCAAGTAAATGTTTGTTTTTTAAATTTTTTTTTTGTGGAACCAGGGACTGAACTCAAGCCCTTGCGCTTGCTAGGCAAGCGCTTATCCTACTGAGCCATCTCCCCAGACCTTGTTTTTTTTTTTTTTTTAAAGGAAAAAAATGAAAATAAGAGAAGAGAAAAAAATGTCATAGGACTTTCCTGCTACAATGTTGTATATGGTTAGATTTCTAAATTTCTGTGTAAAAATTTGTAATTGTTTATTTCTATTTTTTTACTATTTTTAAAAATTTTTTATTCTTTTCACATTCTGTACAGATTTAAAGTTTAGTATATCAACGATTGACAGAAAATACCTGATCCATGTTAAGTCTAAGGCATTTGATATTCAGATAGATACTGATCAGACAGATACTCAACAGCCTATGTTTTAGGGTAATAATATCATTAAGCTTCTCTTCTGGAGGGTTAACAACTTAAGTTTGCAGATCAAAAAATTAGAGAAAAAGAAGGGCTACAAACATAGCCAACATATTGGCCCTAGCCCTACAAGGTCAGTGAGGACTCAAGACATAGGGGAACCTGTACTATAAAATCCTGTAACTCAGTGGTGTCCCAAATTTTCTGATCAAGGAGATTATAGAGCCATAAAGGAAAGTGACTGATGATGTAGAGTGTGACTAAGAAGAGTCATATGGAGAGAAAACATTTTCTTAGACTTTCACAGAGAGCAAATTGGTCAAGCAATAGTCATGACACACTGCTGACACTGACAAAAGATTTACAAACTGCTATACAGGGCTACAGGATAAATCCTGAGGGAATTGACTGACCTTGTCAGATACAAAAGTTACATTTCTTGTCATATAGGTCTTGCTTTATCTTGGTCTTAACCATCCAGCAGAAAAGTACAAAAATGAGGTATAAAAAGTAAAGTCATATTAATATACTGAACTGTAAAATGCTCAAGTCAACAAGTTTTGACAATGCCAGTCCTGCAGATAACCCACTACTATTATAAACTACTGGACTGTAATGGATTACTCTGTTGAATTCATGCACCTACAATATATGAATGGCAATGGAATAAACATCTCTGACAAAAGTAAATAAAAAAGGGGGATATAAATGAAGGACCATTTTGTAGTGGAAATATATATATATATATATATATATATATATATATATATATATACAAAATAGCACAGGTACACAACTACTTTCTTTTAGTTCAATCAAAAGAAAGTTTTGAACTAATAGTGTTTAGACAAGATATCATGTCTGCATCTTGAACTATGAATAACTACCACAAAGACAACAACATGCAATGTATTAATTATTGTAACTATCCTACTAACCTGTTTTGAAACTATCTCCTTGCTACTTTTTTCTCAAAAAATTTTAAAAAATAAAATAAAATTTTTCAAATGTTTCTAGTGAATATTTTCCTGCCAAATGGTCTGTATTTCAGAACTACTTTGATGTTGAAGTGGCAAATATTTCATAAGTTTTTCCATTTCTAAAATTTATTATCATCATCCTGGCTCAGCTAGGTTGCTCTTTTGCAACTTCTTTTGAGTAACATCGATTTATCAGAAACATTTTTATTATTAGAATATTTAAATTGCTGAACTATCAGAGTGGTCTTATTACTTGGAAACTTGTTTGTGAGAGCCACTCTTTATTTCTTGAATGAGGTTAGAGAAATGGAATTAATACTGGTGTGCACGTGGACTTTTTTTCCATTGATAAACAAATAGCAATGAGACAGTTACAAATCAAATTGGTAGGACAGTTTCAATAATCAACACATTGCATACATTCCTCCCAGTGGTTAATTGCTGTACAAGATGCGGACATGATATCCTATCTACAAATTAGAACAAATCACTCTATTCATTAAGAGAATGTAACTATATATCTATCCTAACCACTTTGAATACACAGGTACAAAATGGACATTCATCTGTATCCCCCTTTTTTGATAAGTTCCATCATTTAAATATTATAGGCGTGTAAACTCCGCAAAATATTCTAAAAGAGTCCAGTAGCCCATAATAGTATTGGGTCTTCAGCTTGACTGGCAATGTCAGAAATTGTTGACCTGAGTCCCCTACAGCTCAACATAACAGCATGGCTTTACTTCTTATACTTTGTTTTTATACTTTTCTGCTGGATGGTTAAGACCAAGGTAAAGCAGGACCTGTGCAACAAGAGTTGTAGCTTTTGGATCTGATAAGGTCAGGCAAATCCCCTAACGATTTACGCTGAGATCCTGTACCTCAGATTGTAGAACCTTTGTCAGTGTCAGCCATGTGGATGAGTCACGGCCAATGCTTGGCCAATGTGCTCTCTGTGAAAGCCTGAGAGAATGTTTTCTCTCCATGTGACTCTCCTTAGGCACACTCTACATCATCGATCACTTTGCACGTGGACATTTTTCACTAGAGTTTCTTACATACAGAGAGGGGACATGTCTAATGTGTTGAAGTGATCTTGTTACTTCTTTCCCCTGTTTTCTCTTAACCTTTCCTTGGGGATCTGGAATCCAAGAAATTGCCCAGGTGGTGATAAGGCCATAATTAGCACATTAGCTTCACATCTGTCACAACTCCCATTTATTGATCTAAAAACCCAAAAAGCCCTGCTCTTCACAGTAGATCACATCTCTGGCAGCACAACTTGTGGTAGGTTTGTGAAACAGTGGTCTCTCCATCAGCTCCGCTCGGGATCTTCTGAGTCATGAGTGTAGTCATAATTATTTTTAAATATAATTGTCCAGTTTCTGAAGAAAGCAAACCCAGCCTGAACCACGAGATTGACCCACCAGAAACTCTCTGAGCTTACTGTCAAATCGCTTATCATCTCTGTTCTTGTTCCAGAGGGTTTTGTTGTTAATTTCTACTGTAGGAGCAAGAAGGCTTCATTTCCCAGGACAAATCATCTCCATCTTCTCCATTTCTAAATGCAGATGAAAGAATTCCATCATCGCAAGACACAGTAAGAAAGGCAGGAAAACGACACCCGTTTTAAAGCTGCAAGAGGGCCAAAGAGACAGCTCAGCCAACTAAGTGCCTGCATAGGTAAGAACAGGGACCAGGGTTTGATCCCCATTACTGCATGCTCCACCACAGACAAGCAAGTCTGGGCGTGGTGGACTAGTTTATAATCCCAACGCTGTGGCAGCTGAAAACAGGAAGATCACTACATTAGAGCTGCATAGTGAGACCCTGTACCAAATACATAAAAATAAATAAATAAAGCTGCAACAGAAAATACATTTTAAATCTGAAAAAACCGGAGTCTGACGACAGGCTACTCTGAAATGAATCTTGAGTTTACAACTGAATCTGAACTACCCTCTCCTCTTTCTTTCTTGCCATTAGCTCGCCTGTATGCGCACATGCAGACCTGGGACTGGCAGAGAACAAACCAGGGAACTCGACCTGGCGCAACAACTAAATAGCAAACAGATGCCTGGCCTGCCAAGGACCTCACTGACGAGGGCACCGCCTGGGACGCCAGCTCCAGCTCGCGGTTTCCGGGTGGAAACACTGGCGGCTGGATTGTTGTGTCCTCTTTGCTGAAATGAGGAGGGTTTGGAAAGCAGCAGTCCTTTTCCCCAGGCAGGGGTGCGAAGGGTCACAGTGGGGTCCTGGCGGGGAAACGCCCGTCACGGAAAATTGTGGCGCTAGGTGGAAGCTCCTGCTCCCCACTCCCCGCAGGATGCCCCTTCCTTGCAGGTGAGACACACACCCGAGCTCCAGGCTCTCTGTGGCCTTTCGCTCCAGGACACCCGACTTTGCTTCCAAGTTCTCCTTCGCTGCCTGGGGACCATGCACCCGGGTTTACTCAGGAAGCGACTTTAGGGGCCACAGTTTCGGCTTCAAATGTTTGGTGTGACGGCTTGATCGCCCCTCAAAGCACGTCTCCGCGGGTCCCGATCCTCCAAGTCCCACTCCATCCCCTCCACCCGAAACCCTGAGTAGAGAGGCCAAGCGACTGTGTTGCTGGTAGCTCAACGCTGTGTTCAAAGAGATGAACTGCTGGGTACCTGAGATTTTCCTAACAGCACCTGGAATCAGTGCCCCTCTTCCCAAACCGCGTTACCCCAACGTCGGGGAGGTCCAGGCACGAGTTTGACTGGCTGCTCCTCTCCGCACCTACCCCGGCAACCCTGAGCAGTGGCTCCCTCAGGACCCTCGGGGCGCGCGCCCCGGGGCTCCGGGTCCGCCTCTTCCCTTGGCGCTGGCGGGCGGGGTGGGTAGGCAGGGACCTGGATCTAATTAAGTGGGAGAGGGAATCTATGGACTCGCTCTCTCCAGTCTCTGTCCTCCTAGACTGCTGAGCAGGAGGAGGGACGGTGCAGGAGAGAAGGGGCGAGGGTCCCCTCCCCGAGCGCCTCGCCTGGGGTTTTGTGCATCTGCCTCTTTCTCCGTTCGACACCTGACCATGGGGCTCCCGTCCAGCTCTGGCTTCTACGTGAGCCGCAACTTGGCCCTTCTGCTGGCCGCCCTGGCCGTCGCGCTGCTCCTGGCGCTCCTTGTCCTCGCCTCCCTCTATGGTCACTGCCCGAGCACCCGGCCCGCAGAGCCCTGCAGCCGCGGGGAACCGGACGCCGCTCCCTCGCCTTCCCGGGGTTCAGAAGAGCCCGAACCAACCCCGAGGTCTGGCCCAGTCCCGGAGCCCGGGGCAACGTACCCCTCTCACGACCGTCGGCCCTCTGGGCCCTGGGACCAGCTGCGCCTGCCACCCTGGATCGAGCCTCTGCACTACGACCTGGAGCTGTGGCCGCGGCTGCGGCCAGGCGAGCTCCCAGAGTTCTGGCTGCACTTCACCGGCCGCGTGAACATCACGGTGCGCTGCGTGGCGGCCACCGCGCGGCTGCTGCTGCACAGCCTCTTCCTGAAACATGAGCGCCCCGGGGTGCGCGGTCCCCTGTCTCCCGGCGCTCCGGGCGAGGTAGCGGGCAGCGTGCCTGTGCACGACGTGTGGTTCGCGGAGGACACGCAGTACATGGTAGTGGAGCTCGGGGAGGCGCTGCGGCCCGGGGCCCTCTATGAGCTGCAGCTCACCTTCTCGGGTCCGGTGCTCCAGGAGGCCAGGGAGGGCCTCTTCCTTAACGTGTACTTGGACCAGGGAGAGCGCAGGTAAGTGCGGCCCGCTCCCTCCCCGCCCCCCAGGATCCCCGATTTTCTCCCGCGTCGCAGAGCTGCTGCGAGTCCAGCTGCCCCTGCCGCCCACGTCCCTCTGTCCTTCTCTCGTCCACGCTTTCTTCTAGAGCCGCCTCCTTCTCCTCTTTCCCTCTAGAAACTTTACTGCAAATAAAAGCTTGGAGACCTCGGTTCCCCTCCACTTCTTTCTGTGCCTGTTCTGTGTATCCCCACCGGGACCCTTCGAAATGAACTTGCTGATCCCTCCAGACCATCCTTATGTTCAGAAAGCCCCTTTCTTCTCTCGTCTGGAATTTCCGCATCCCTCTATTCACAGCTTGGTGCTTTCACAGTAGCAGTGTAATGCCACCTGTTTCTCTGTCCGTTGGGTTTGCTTTGGAGTCGCCTTTAGTTCATCCTCTCTCGCACTTGGTCAAGGCCAAGGTCCCCTTTGGCCACTGTGCACTGCTAGTCAATCTCTGCAGCGCTCCGAGCTGGCACTTCAGGGATGTCTTGCTCAAAGAAAAAGAAAAGGTAGGAGACGTCAAGAGATCTACTGTCTGAGTTTGCAAGCCCAGGTTAAGTACAGGCGTCCTTTTCACATTCTTTAGAGATATTGTCTCTCAGAGGAGTGTTTACAGTTCCAGATCAATCATTGCCTGCTTCCATGACAGCCGGGGATAATGAGGAAGTTTATATGGAAGATAACAAAAAGTTGTGTGTGTGCGGAGGTTGTTTTTTAAAAACCAGCTGTCCTTTTCTTTAAGCAGTGGTGTAGTGGAGAATTTGCAGTTTACACAACTGCTTGTACTTTGCCCTTTATTATTAGAGAAAATGTTCTCAGATTTTCTCTAAGGGGATGGTTTATTCCATAAACCATCCTTTGCACTCCCCCCTCAAGTTTCAAGGTTTTAAAGTACATTTAGTGTACTGCTTTACAAAGTGTGTAGTAGGTGATTTGTTTTTCAGGATCACATGCTTAGCTTTTCTTTTGCAAGATTGCATCAGTTCCTGAAATACAGTTGGAAATTTTGTATTAGTATGTGTTACTCAACTTACGCACACTGAGAACCTTTTGAAATGTGTACCAAATGGAGTATGATATTTTCAAAGCAAAAAAGAAACTCTTTGCACACATATCTGACAGAATTTTTTTCATGTATTTGATACAGGGTCTCACTATGCAGCTCAGACTTATAGTGATCCTCCTGTTTTCAGTCCCCAGCACCGCAATTACAGATATGTGCCATCACATTGGGTCTCGGTGGTGACTGGCTCAGCACATCCAGGGGCAGGGTCAGCATGGCATGTGGTGCCAGGGATTGAACCCTGGTCCCTGTGCTTGCCTAAGCAGATGCTTAGTCTGCTGAGCTATGTCTCTGGCCCCATATCTGGCCAATTTTATGTTGTTGGCTCATCCATCTCCTCCTTCTTCTTACCTTAATGGGACTATGATCCAGACAAAGCAGCAAACTTGAGAAAAGAAGGTACCCCTTTGCATTTTTCTATTGCACCAGTCAACCCTAGCACTGATGAGAAATCACATTTCAGAACATTAAAACCAAGGTAAGGTTCCAGAATAGTGACATTTAGGGAAGGCCATCACTAGGAAGTTGTCCCTTGGGCCTCTGGCTCTGAAACTACAAGGAAAAGACATCTGTAGTCATATTTGAAGTCAAGGTCACAAAGAACTTGGACAAATGTATCGATGTAATTTGGGAAGGCTGAACAGGCTGTGTGAATTGCGCCACTGTCTTTGCTTTCTGAATCCATTGCCTCCTTCATGGAATAGATGTGGGAACTGTCCACTTGAGGGTGCTGTGGTAATGGACTGAGGGAGGAGGTGGACTGGCTGACACACAGCTTGCGTGGTGGTACCTGGTGCCAGTCGGTCAGGTTATCGTTGTTATGAGTAGCTCCTGTTTTCTACACATGAAATCTGCCAAGTTCCAGGGCTGAGTCAGTCTAAGAAAATTTCCCTGTGGGGAGAAGCCAGGGGCAGAGGGAGCAGGCAGTTATCATTTAATGGGTGTAGAGTTTTAGCTTTACAAGATGAAAAATGTACTGGACATTATTTGTACAATATAGTGAATAGAGTTAGCACTATTAAATTACACACTTGAAATGGTTAACATGGTGAATTCTATGCTTTATTACAATTACAAATTTCAAAAGTGGAAAAAAATCTAGATTGGTAAGTTTTTTTTGTTTCTTTTCTTATGTATTTGATACAAGATCTCACTATGCAACTCCTACTCATAGTGATATTCCTGTTTTCAGCCTCTCCAGTGCTAGGATTACTTGCATGGGCCACCATACCTGGTCTCGGTGGCCAGCTCAGCATGCCTGGGGTCAGGGCCAGCATAGGGTTCCGGGATTCAACCCTGGTCCCTGTGCTTGCCTAAGCAGGCACTTAGTCCACTGTACTGTCTTGCCGGCCTTAGATTGGTATGTTTAGAAAGGATTTAAGAAAATATTAACATTTTAACAATTGCTTCATAAAATTCTGATGCCCACAATCCATACTTCTCATTTTTTTCTTCTTCTGAAGTAGTTATAGATTCCTCAGAAGTTGCAAAGATGTTACAGAAGTTTCATGTATTCTATCTAGTTTCTCCAAATATGTATGTCTTTTTAATTTTATTTTTATTCTTCTTTTCTTTGTGGTACCAGGGATTGAACTCAGGACCTTATGCTTTCCAGGCAAGTGCTTATTCTACTGAGCTATCTCCCCGGCCCCAAACATGTATGTCTTACATAAGGATAGTGCATTATTAAGAGCTAGAATTTGATATTAGTAGTACCAGTGTTGGGGGTTTTATGTCATTTGCTACATGGGTAGATTTTTTTTTGGCTATTACCACAAGCAAGATAATCACTGTTTTATCACTTCAGAGATGATCCTTATGCTTCTTGCCATCTGTAACTCCTAACAAGCATTTAATCTATTGTCCAGCTATATAATATTTCATTTTGATAATGTTGTATAAATGAATTAGATAAGATGACCTTCAAAATTGTTTTTTTTTCTTAGCATAATGTCCTATGGACCCATCCAAGGAAAGGTTTTATCATAAATTGTATCATTTGTTTATATTGATAATTTGAACTTTTAAAAAAAATCATCAAGAGGCATTCCATTGTCTGGATGTACCATAGTTTTAATCATTTACCTATGGAGGAACATTATGGTAACCAGTTTTTGGCTATTACAAATAAAGCTTTCTTAAAAATTATGTGTTGTTTTTTGTATGAACATAACTTATTTCTCTGGGATAAATGCCTACCAAATGTAATTGGTGAATTGTATGACAGAGGCCTGCTTAGTTTTTATTAAGCTGCCAAACTATTTCCCAAAGTAGATGTGCAATTTTTATACCCGCACTGTGACACTAGATTGATGGAGTTTCTCTGCATGCTGGCTACTATTTCATCCTGCTGCCTTTTTTCTTTTAAATTTGAAAGCTTTCCCCTTATTTTTGTGCTCTAATCAGTTAACCATAAACTTTAATGCTCAAACAAAGAGGTTAAAATTCAGTCTGTATTTCTAGCTTTGTGTCACCTATGACAAGAAATTCAGAATTCTTGATCTGTAGTCAACTTTAACATCTTCTCCATTGTTTAAGAATAAAGATTATAGCACAAGTCTTAAGAAAGAGGGCCCAGGACTCACCAGGGAGAATTGTGGATGCAAGACCACTTTGAAAGTCTGAAGAAATGGATGTCTGATGTCCACAGTGACTTTCATAGCAGAACATGATTTTTCTCAAGCAGAAAGGAGTTTCTCTAGTACAGGTTCACTTCCTCTTTGCTTCCTTTTTCAAATTTTTATTCCATCCAGGGTTCAAGCCAGCAGGATGGTGCAACAGGGAATCAGGGAAGGTCTCTACTTCCCAGTTTGCTGGGCTTCATGCCAAGCATCCATACCAATGTTCCCTCATACATACAGCCAGAAATCAATTTGCACTCATGTGTTATGTGTCTTCCGGTCGAGTCACACTGAGACTCCACCCTGACTGTCACCACAACCTGCTGCTATTCTTTACCTTAGTTGTTCTAGGCGGTACATAGTGGTAACTCCATGTGATTCATGTTAATTTGCATTTCTCTAATGGTTAATGATGTTAAACATCTTTTCATATGTGTACTTACTATCTATATATCATGATCAGTGAAATATCTTCTTGTGTCTTTTGTCCATTTTCTAATTAAATTGTTTGTTTAATGACGTTCTTTAGATATCTAGACCTGAGTCCTCACTAAGATACAAATGGTTTGCAAATATATGAACTCTTTGTAGTTTGTCTTTTCTTGTGCTTCAGTCTTTCACAGAACAAAAGTTTGTAATTTAAATTAACTCCCATTCATTTACATTTTTAATGGGTCATACTTTTGGTGTCATGATTTAAGGACTCTTTGCCATGCCTTATATTCTGAAGATTTTCTGTGTTATCTTCTTGCAGTGTATATTTTTATGTTTTACATTTAAATCTGTGAGCCACTTTAAGGTAAATTTTATCTATAGGATGGTTAGGTCAGCTTCTTTACCTTTTTGGGGTCTATAAATATTCAGTTGTCTCTACACTATTTGTTGAAGAGACTGCTCTTCCCCCAACTTCCACTGAGTTTTTTATTATTACTATTTTATTAAAACACAGTTGCCTGTATTAGGTGAGGCAAGTTTTGAATTTCTTTTACATTCATCTGTGTGTCTGAGGCACCTATCTGTGTCTATTCTTTTGCAAATTCTACACAGGCTTGGTTGCTGTTGTCAGATGAGTCTTGCAGACATGCTTTTTCAGTATTGTTTTAATTATTTTAGATTTCTTTACTTTCCATAGAATTTTACAATACTCTTGTCTATCAATACCGATGCTCTTGATGGGATTTTGATACAATTTATGATAAACCCTTATAACAGTTTAGTGATAATAGACACCTTAGTAAGCTGACTTCATCCATGAACGTGGATTGTCCTTTTAGACTTTTTTTTTTTC